GAAAGAGGGGAAAGGAAGTGTCCATGGCTAGATGAGAAGTGGGAAGTATGTTTCACAGTATGAATGAGTGGACAATATATGTAGAGTTTGGATGATTAGCTTGGCATCCATAGTCATCCAACGTGGGCTTCTGTTGACTTCTGTAGATTAAGGCTCACCTGTCACTAATGTGTTGGATTCTGCAGTCATTCAATGTTATTGCAGTCAGTTACTGGGACTTCAAGAACATTTTCAGTTGATAGTGTTGATACTAGGTTTTACTATTCACTTAAAAATTTGACTATTTATGCTAATATGGATCAGTAAGACATCCAGCAAAACAACTGTGATACTGACTGATTTTTGATAGATTATTAAGACTAATTGATTATCATTATAATCTTCAGTGTATCTCAGCATGCCAGCCTGACAAATATATTCATCTGCTTGTGATATCTGAGGTGAAAATGCAAAATAAACTGTGGCAAAGTAGAATTTGTAAGCGTAATTTATGCTTTGTAAGGAAGTCAAAACTTTACCTTAGATTAAAAATGTGACAGTAAGTGAATATTAGGTTAACAAGAGTGTTGCAGGGTGGAGCCAGGCTTCACCCTTTTACTTTCTTCCTTTTTCATTTATTTCCTGGTACTTCAGTGGAAGACTTTCCCACATTTGTTTGTGGTGCTGTTAAGTTAAAAAAGTGAGCTCCTTTCAGTGCTGCGAGCTCAGTTTGTCATTGAACTTCTTTAATCAAAGAAGCTGCCTCTCTTCTACAAAGAGAAAAGAGTAGCCATTCTCCTCCTCAGAGACTTTTCAAGCCCTCATGTCCTCTGCACCTTTGTATTTGTGGCAAGTAGAGGAAATCAGCTGAGAAGCATGTGCCTGACTTCTTGTGGGATCATTCAGGTGGTCTTACAAAGACTTACAACTTCACATGCATAGTTGTTCAGGCTCCATCAAGAAGGAAGTAGTGTCTGAGACTCTGTGAGGCTGTTACTGGGTGGGAGCATAAAACTGTATGCAACTGTGCTTTTTTGTTTGATAATCCTGAGGGTGAAACACATAATTGTCCTTGCTTTGGAAATTAAAATCTTGACACCAACTTTAAATTGTAACTGTACTCATTTTCACTGGGTTTTTAAAACATACCTACAGCTGATATCCAGATTTCTTGCAGCTTGATGGAGTACAGATGCAGGCATGGAGTACAGATGCAGGATTTTAAAGCCCTCTTTGAAACTGTTCAACAACAATTTTTGATGCTACAGCAGTTAGAGGAGTTTTGACCTCTGGGACAAGATCATAATTGCTTAGCAATTCAACTGGAAAAAAATAAGTAATGCTAATTTCCAACAAAATTTGTAATCATTTGAGACAGTAATTAAGCAATAATAATAATAATAATTGCAGTAAATAAAGAAAATAATTACAGCAAAAACTGTTACTGTTGCCCTGCAATTAATGCTATAGGTATGTATGTCTGAGGTAATTTCATGTACTCTAGCGAAGACTATGAAGTGTGAACTTCTCATTTTATTAATTTCATTCTTTTGTTTTCCAATTTCTATAATAAGATTGTATGCAAAACTACCAGACAGACCTGCTTATATGCAATTAGTATTCTTAAAACACACTAAAATACTAAATTTTATTTTGAAGCCTAAAAGATTAATTAAAAACCCCTACACCCTGAAAATGCAGCCATAGGCAGCATTACTTTCTCTGACATTTTACTGCCCAGAAAAATGTTTGGATATATTACACAAAAAGACAGGCAGAAGAGGATTCAAAGAGGAATTGAAATATGTGTACCTACTAAGAGTTGTTAACTTGTGAGAAAAAAAAAGAACATATTGCTCTATTCCATGTTACATTACAAAATGGTTAATTTTGTATTTTTTTGTATGCAAAAAAGTATATTTGGTTTACTTCTGAAAAATTTATAGTATGATAACTTTATTTATGTTTGTCTAGCATAATTTTCTAGAAATCCTTTTTTAATTAATAATGTTTGTTACAGTGTAACATGCTATGATGGTGAAAATGAGTTTAAAAGTTTCTTAAATCCAGCACATTGTTAAACGCTAAGTAATTACTAGAATTTACCTAGACTGACAAGAGAGACTGAATTAGTATCATCTTTGAGGTAAACACCTGTTTGCCCAAGAACACAGACAGATTGAAGTTAAAGCTGACATTAGTTCCTCATATCATTTTGCCCTTTTGTTAAACAATCATGAATTAAGCATGGATTTTCAGTGTTATCTTTGAATTTCCTGCCTTTTGTTGATTTCTGTCACAACCTTAACTTTACTTGAACATAGGGGGGTTTCTATTTAAGCTATTACTAAGAACTAATAAGAAAGCTAGGCTTTCTCAGCTGTGGGGAGACTGTGTGTCAAATGAATTACGTTGATGTGAAGATGTATACCTTTGAGCTAGGGCAGCAAGCACACACAGAATTGTGTAACTGTCTTTTCAATTTTATGCTCTGGTTCTGGGTTTTATTGATATCCTTAGTGTTGGGAATTTGTTTTAAGTAAATTGTTACTTACAGAGTTTATAATGGTGCAAAGGAGTGAGATTTTGTGTTCAAAGATGAAAAGATCTGATGAAACTAGCCTGTGGAACAGGACTAGATGTTTTAAGGGTCTGATCTTTCAGTAATGTTAAGTGTAAATTTGCTAAGAATTGCTTAAAAACTGCATTCTTACCAGTAGCGAAAGATAAAAGTCTCTAATGCTTTACTTCCACTTTAGAAGTCAGACCAGTGGTCTTTGTATGTGCAGAAAGTCATTTCAAGGCAAGCTTTAAATTGTAGGCTTCCGCTAAGAGAAAAAAGAAAAACAACAAAAAACCAAACCAAACACCACCCACCCACCCCAAAAAAACCCAAACAAGAACAACTTTTGAAAAAAGTTTAGAAGTGTTCAAAATCAGGACTTTGTACAGCTGCACCATGAGAAATCACTTAGGAAATTTCTGAAAAACTGAAGTACCCAAGCTGTCATTAATAGGAGTGCAGTTAGTACAGTTCAAGGAATATGTTTATCTCATAACGATTCCTGTCAAGTAACCTGCAGAAGATGACAGTTGCCTTGATAGTTGTCTTGTAGAATTTCCATTACCTAGTAGTTCTGGATTTTGCCTAACTTAAAAAGTCTATATTTCTAGTTGGAAAGTAATTGCACAAAGCTTTTCAGATTAAATGCTTGGTACAAGGATCTGAGATGCACTGTGGTATTTTGCTGATACCTTGAAGATTCTGAATATTGAAAAAGAGCTCTCTAGATATGCAGCCTTTTGTTTTCTAAAACTGTGAGTATTCCTTTTTTGTATTGCCTCTTTTCTTCATTTACTGATACATTTAGTGTGTCTGAGGACACACGATTTTTTTAAAATGTTTTTCTTCTATGAGAATGTTTGCTGAAGCAAAAACCGAGTTTCAGCAAACTATAATTGGAATTATATAGTTTTTATTTTAAAATATTATAGATTGGGCATAACTG